TGCCTACCTCAACTGGATCTATGGCGTCCGGAGGGTCAGTGCCCTGCTGCAGGCTCCGCTGCCGCCACACGCACGGCTGCTCCATCGCGTGGGTTTTTGGGGCCAGTGAGGAAGGGTAGGGGGCCCCTCAGCAGCTCTGCACAGAAGGGAACTGCACCGGCGCCTGAGGGATGGGGCTGGGAGCTGCAGGCAGCTGAGCCGGCTCCTTGGGGACGTGATTCTGCTTTTCCTTGGTCTTAGCTGCCCTTTCAAAGCTTGCCATTTCTTCTCTCCTTCCAGTCGGAGCTCTGAGACGAGTTGGGACAGGCCCTTAGGGTAGGGGGCCCCTCAGCAGCTCTGCACAGAAGGGAACTGCACCGGCGCCTGAGGGATGGGGCTGGGAGCTGCAGGCAGCTGAGCCGGCTCCTTGGGGACGTGATTCTGCTTTTCCTTGGTCTTAGCTGCCCTTTCAAAGCTTGCCATTTCTTCTCTCCTTCCAGTCGGAGCTCTGAGACGAGTTGGGACAGGCCCTTCCTCTCGCCCCAAGCCTCCCTGCACACTTGGCCGTCTCAGCTCTGGCAGCAGCTGGGAAATGGATCTCAAGCCACCGAGAGCGAGCAGTGCCACCCGAACCCTCTCTGGCAGGCTGTGATTTAGCACGTCAGAGGCCAGCCAAGGAGGCAAAGGGCAGCTCAGAGTGATGGCCACCAATACCGTGAAGGAATCTGACCGGCTCAAGCTCCTTTCCGGAGAACGATTAATTTATTGCCCTGTGCCCACCCTGCTGTGCCAGGAAGGCTCCTGTGGGGCTAAGCTGCTGTTTGCTCACTATTGTTATACAGAGAGAAATTATGAGTATCCCCATTAAAATAAAGTATTTGGTTTTTTTCACACAGCCTCTGAAGGCTTCATCCCTCTTGCTTGCTGGGGCGTTTTTTCACAATACCCTGCGCTGTGCCAGAGCTGCAGGGTTTATTTTCTGGCTCTTGTAAACAAGCTGTTCCTGCACACAAGGAGGAAGGTGCTGCATGAACCTCAGACAAGCTGATCAGAATGGGGCCAGTTTAAACTACTGCAGACAAAGAGGGACGTTACACATTATTTTAAATGAACTTTTCCTAGCGTAGTTTCGGCCCCAGTAGAAATCAGGGCCATGCCCATGCATTGTGGCAGGGGGGATCCTGCCTTCCAAGCAGCTGCGCTCAGCCAGCCTTTCGTGCTGGGAAATACCCCAAAAAACTGGGAAGCAGCACCCCAGCCCTTGCCCCGCGGAGTCGAGAGGGGAGCAGCAGTCATTCCCCACGCTTGGCACAGGAGGGACACGCTGCCGCTCCCCGCCCCAGCGCAAGGGGCTTCAAGGTGAGCCTAAAGAGACACCCACGGCAACCCAAGCTCGAGCGAGTTTCTCTAGTAAACATAAACTTTATTTCATTCAAGGCAAAGCTAACTAAACCTCTACAGTGCAAAAATGTGCTGTAAGTCATCACACAGCATGTCATACACATCCTGTGTTTATTTGCAGGTATCTCCTACGTGTGTTTATAGATGCTCATACACATACGTGTCTGTCTCGGCACACGCCTCCAGCATTGCCTTCTCCCCGCAGCGCCCCGGGAAGCCCCTGCACATCTCCCCAAAGCCCTTGTGACAGCAGGAACCCCACTGGAGCTGGCACAAGCTCCCAAGCCAGCCCGGTCCCCCAGAGCCGCGTACAGCGCCTGCACACATATGTATATAGAGTTACGTTTCAAAAACTGCTTATGTTGACTTTTTCCATCAGGCCAGAGGAGTAATCCATGCATAGTGCAGCATTGCATATCCTGTGGTAAGTGGATCTGCATCCAGATACCACCTAGAAAAGGCCAACAGGTTAGGACAGCTAAAAATAGTTCTTTAAAAAAAAAAAAATCCCTTCCTCCCCTCATCCTCCCCTCACTGTCCTCTCCCATGGGAGGTGTCCTCTAAGGATGGGCTGGTGGGGGGATCTCCTGGGGCAACTGGGAGGTCTTGCACGTTCCTGCCCAGTCTCTCATGAGTGACAATGGTATGGTAACAATATTTTGCATTTACAGGGTGCCTTTGGCCCCAGGGTCTCGGAGCACTTTGCAAAGCAACGCAGGGAGCCTCACACCTCCTGCGAGGTAGGTCAGATTTTCTGTCCCCATTCTACAGACGGGGAAAGCGAAGCACAGAGATGTCAAGTGATTTGCCCGAGCATCCCATGGATCCTCAGAGAGGGGCCTGAGACCCAGGGATCTAACTCCCACGTGCCTGTCTAGCCAGCAGCCAAGGAAACCTGCCCAGGATTGGGTGCCTGTGCCCGTCTCCTGTCCCAAAACCTGCTGCTCCAGGCCGGTGCCCCAGAGCCCAGAGCCTGGGGACCGCCAGCCAGTCATGCCCCCCGACGATGGCTGCAAGGTGCTCTCTGTACCACCACCCCACGAGCAGGTGGGGACATCCAACCTCTGCCACAACAGCCTCCACAGCAGGCAGCACACCTAACCCTTCCTCGTTTGCCCTGCCCACCAAATCCTCGCCCACCTTTCACTCCAGCACCGCTGTGAGGGTGCAAGCCCCCGCCGCTGTGGAAGTCAGGGCTCAGCTTTGTTTCCCACTTTCAAGTGGGGACTGGGGGAGCTGCACGTCCGGCAGCTTCACTGACAGACACCCACAAATAAAGGAGAAATAGGGAACAAATAGCGTTGTAAAGGAAATTGTGAACTTCGGTTGTAGGATCAGCTCACTCCCTTTCTGTCTCGTGTCCTGCTACAGCCCTTGGGAAAAGGGCTGGGTTGCCCAAGTCCCCGCTGCAGGTACCCTTCACCAAGGTGCTCCGGCTCTCTGTGGCACTCCTCACCTGAGGGGCTGGAAGCACTTTACAAATGTCAGCCAAGGAAGCCTCACAACCCCTGTGAGGTAGAGCAGTATTATTATCCCCATTTTACAGATGGGGAAACTGAGGCATGGAGAGGCAGGGCGACTTGCCCAAGGTCACCCCGTAGGCTGGCGTAGCCCTACCCCGGCTGCCCTCAGCAGGGCTCAGCCACGCTCCCTCCCTGCACGGCCGGTGCAGAGCCAGTTTTCCTCGGGTGACAGGGAAACGCAACCAGCCATTTTCCCACTGGACTCTGATATAAAAAATATCTGCATAACGAGCTAAGCCTCGGCGAGGCAGCATCAAAAGCATCACTGCTCTGAGTGCTGGGCTTTGGAAAGATGGGGCGAGGAGCCAGAGCAGCAGCAGCACAAACCCAGGGAGTCCCTCCTAAGAATGCTGGCTGGGGGAGGAGCTCCCTGCAGCCCTGTGGATGGGCCCCCCTGGGGGCCAAGAGGGGGGGGAGAGTGG